GGCGAATTTGTTAATATACACGTTCCTTTTGTGTGGAAATTGGAGTACAAAGCAAAAAATATTTAACACGGGGTAGGTAGGTATATTGACAATGTGACACTGTTGAATCTGGTCTCTTCCTCACCCCTTACTTATAATTAGCTAAGAACTTATCAATACAAGTGTTTTACATTGCAACTGCAGTTATTATTCTATCCTTAAACTACTATGCCTACTTGCTATTTATGTACTTACAGACTAACTAATACAGAAAAACGTCCTTTTCCTTGGGGAAACTTAAATGCGCATTAAGTATCGGGCACAATCCATGCGTTTTTAGTCCATTTTTCAAAAAATAAATCCGCTATTACGAGGAGTTTCCGTCCGTCCGTCAGTGTGAGGGGTGAGTTGTGGGTAGTCTTAGAGAGTTTGTTGATGCCTCAATTAATCGCTATAGGGCCCCCACTAGTGTAGCAAGTTTTTTCTATACCTAATCATTTCAGGATGATGCCATTTGGCAAAAATTTTTAACGTTTTCCTCATTTTGACGGGAAAACACATTGGCTTGATGTACAGGAACCAGATCTTTTTAGTCTTCCTGTCATATTCTTTTGGGTCAAGTTGACAGAGCCAAGTCTTTATTTAAGCACCAATTTATTGGGGGAAACTGCTTTGAAACACAGGAAGTAAATTTTGTCTCTGTCATACTGTTCTATTGGTTAAGTTTGTTTAATTAAAAATTTAAACACGGAATTGTTCTTCTCCGGCCCTGTTGTGAATCCCATTTGTGTTTTGTCTAACATCCTCTTCAGCTCTATTCACTGCATATATTGGGTATGCAGTCGTCATTATCGTGATTCCCCTATAATTTTCCATACAGTCTTTGTCCCCTTCCCCACGAACACAGTTCCATATAAAAAGCTTCTATTGTAGACTTAAACCCTACATATATAATACGCATGTCCGGTGGATATTGCTATATTCTTGTAGGAATATTATGTGTTCATTATTTATCATTGATATATGATTTATATGCGTATATTAAACTGGTTATGACATAAAAATCCAATATAGTGTAGTGTCTATAAGAAATAAGCAAGTTGATGTGATTTAGTCGAAACTCACAATTGATAAAAATTTTATTTTGGCACCATCATAAAGCTGAGAAAAAATTACTAGGGGTTTATAAACCTATTTTTTGATATCTTTGAAAATAAATGAACGCCAGCGCATTTTCGAAAATGACATTTTTCGTTTTTTTGATTCATTGTTTGTAGTTAATCTACATAAAATTCTGCAATTCTTTGCTGAAGTGACATTGTATCTCTTACGGTTTACGAGGTCCCCATACTAAACATCTGAAAAAACTCACCCTGCATATGAATAAAAATCGTATTTTAAACGTAGATATAAAAAATTCGTACTACCAATACCGAATTTATCCTATGAAAGTGCTTTAGAATCGTTTTTTTAAGCGTAAGTGTGTTTGCTGGGTCTTTTGTACACTTCCTTCCATTCTTCCGGTAGTCCTCTTCCTTTCCATGTTAATTAGTTTCCTTTTTGATACTGTCTGTGACAAAAATCCGTACCTCATTTCTTATTTCATCCCTCACTTCCGTTGTCCCTTTCTTCAGTCTATTTAATTGCGGCTCAATCTCTTCTTTTGCTATCTCGCCTCCTTCAATTTCCTGGCTTCCATCTTCCACTGTAATACCGTTCAAATGTTTGAAAAATAACTATCGTAAAAAATTCATTTGCTAACCACGTAGTGGCAAATACCCTTTGCTTGGTAGTTATTTCAAAAGTATTTTTTTATTTATTTTATTTTAGTTTCTTTATTTTTTTTATTTTATGTAGTTCTATACACGGTGTTCCTTAAAGACCTGCTAATATTTTAGGGGGTGATATTTTGACTCATTAAAAAAATCTTCCTATGAACGTAAGTCCTAAACATTTTAATTTTTGAGATACAGGGTGGTAAAGTTTTAAAAAAAATCAGTTTTTTAATAATAACGGAGATAATATTGTAGGAATCTTTATGAATTTTGGTACATGTCTTCTATGCATCAAGATGCATTTTCTGATGTGAAAAATTTTTTATTTTCTGTACCAGCGGCGTCCGTACGGCTTTTGCATTGAATATTTATGGAGAAAAAAATACTACGCCACTGCTTTCCCTTAAAATAAAAATTAGTTTTTAAATCCTCTTTCATTTTTGAGCAAATTTGATCTTCTGGCTTAAAAAAATAAAAATCGTTAATTTTTAACTGATTTTATTTAAAAACTTAACCACCCTGTATCTCAAAAATTAAAACGTTTAGGACATACTTTCATAGGAAGTTTTTTTTACTTAAAATGAGTCCATCACCCCCTTAAATATTAGCATGTCTTTAAGGAACACCCTGTACTCTTTTGTCATTTACCTACATTGTAATAAGAAGGTTAACACTATGACCGACTTGGGTGGAACCATAGATAGACCAACCCACTGCATGTAGACATATGTATGTATAGTGGATGGGAGACCTTATATTGAACTGAGTTAGCCACAATAAATGTTTCGATTGGATAATGCAAGATAAATATTCCCCAATCAATAATTTAAAAACCAAACAATAAATGAATAATTGATCCATTTTGTGGAATTTTAAGGGCAGATAATTTTTCAGGAATTATTTACCTAAGGGTACAGTGTTAATGCTGTGTTCCTATTTAAATTCAGGATTGCGAACCAGTATATACTCAGTTATCTTTTACGGACACACGTGAATGTATACGATTATGTTTTGAAACGTATTCGGATTACGAAAAGGTCATTCCAAATGGAAGTTGTGAAAGGACTGCGTTTGAAAACAGCGCTTACGATAGAGCTCAAATCTATTTTTATTGCTTTGTTCAATTGATCACGCTCTATATACCTACATTCAACACAAAAACATCATAAATGCACTTAGAGTGATCAAGATTTATATATCGTATCTATTATACATCCGTTTTCATGGAAAATAACTCAATTCAATTTCTAGCGTTTACAATTTACTGATCAATAAATTACATAGTGATTGTAGCGCAAATGCAAATACGTGTCGCAAGTCTTCTATAACAATTAAGTTGACAGTTCCATTAATACGGAAACAATAATTCAAAACGTTTAAGTGTACACAAATTGCGATTAATCAGAATTTGAAATAAGGACAATTTATCTATACGGATTTAAGGACCTCGGGGGACCTCTACGAAGCGTAATAAATGTTTTCCACAGCAGTTGAGAACAAATGTTAAGCGAAAGTTCATTATACTTGCAAAAAAATTCATGACTAATTCTTATTCTGGGCCGTAAAGGGAAGCGCCCGAATTCCATTTAACATTCTATCACTATTTGTTCTCCAATCAAGTAGAAAGCGACGATCGATCTCTTGTTTCCGTATTCCGAGGCGCGCCCCTACGAGATTGCTATCCGATACTATGACGTCCTTGTTCGCGAAAATCAAAATTAACAGATTGTTACTTTAGGGAAAAAAAGGCGGTCTTGGGGGCGATAATTAATTAATCTCGCTTTCGTCAATTAATAAGCGAGAAATTTTTTTTGGATTCGGTCCATGTTAATCTCACAGCGATTGCTTCAAATTAAATGGGAATAGTGTCACTTGCGAAGATTTACCGATCCTGGAGGCACAGCCCTGATTTATTAACCGACGATTTTTGTCTTCCTTCCAGATCGTGTTCCAAATTTTTAATTGAATACTTCATTTACGCCAGGGAAACGTGTCGTGGAAACATTGATGGACACATAAACAAAGACAAAACAAATGCAGATGGCAATTTCAAGAATTTTAATCGCACACCGTAAACTTAAATGTTTTATGTCACGAATTAAACGGCGAAAAAGTTTTTAAGTTAGAATGGGGGATGAATGAGGTAAACTGCGCAAAGCACTTATTTACGTTTTATGTTCGTTTAAACACATTTTCATTTAAATTTTTAGAACGTTTCTAACGTCAATTTTAATTTGTAATAAAACTTGCAACTAAAGTTGAAAGCTTATTGGATATTTTAGTTTGGAAGTCTGTTAACCGATATCATTCTCTTTTGTGTTCAAGCTATAAATTACCGAAAGCCTAGAAAGCAGAGAGGTTACTCATATTTTTGTAAAATCCTTGCGAGACTATAATATATTTTCTCGGAGAAAATAGTTTTCCTTTGAGTTTGCCAGAGTAGTTATGTACTTCGGTTCTTTTCTTCTACTGATACTTCCATTTTCTTAGGGTTTAAGCTTTTTCGGCCTTTATTTAGTACTTTTCTTGTCTCGATGACCGATGTCCTGTATGGTGGAGACGCGAAAGGGGGAATGAACCCGTTCCATCCAATCCACTTTTTTGCGTTTTTTTCACGGAGCGTGGATGGATGGATAAATAAGAAAAATACAAAAAAGGAAACGGTCAATATTTCGTAAATTTAATGGAAGTTATTGCGGAGAAAATTGCTTAACTTTTTTGTTTCACTGCCTTTCTAATATATTTATTTCTCTTTGCGACAACGCGTATTTGTATTTACTTCATGTAAGTAATTGAATTGCCCTCTACACCGGGAATATTTAGGTCATTTTCTTATCTTTGCACAAAATAAATTTACCGTGAATATACAATTGTATCCAAAGTTTCCAGTACAAAATCCTTATCTGCGAAAAAATTACCATAAACATAAACTTATAAAAAAGTAACTAGTCCCCTTTTTTTTATTTGTGGCAGATTATCGTTTCAATGTTCCGGTTCCAAATGAACGGTTTTGTTATTAAGTGGAAATTGAAAACATATTATACATAAGTAGCATATTACATAACGAGCATTGAAAGCATAGCTTTTAAATTAGATGTGATTATTGTGACACGAGGCAAAGCTGATGGCGTGTCATTTTAGACACATAAAATGTGACTATGGTAAAACTTGTTTGGTGCACTTATATTGTTAATATTTATTTCTTTGTTTAACGCTTGACATTAACGAAACATTCGTTTGTTCCAGGTAAAGCCGCTGTGTCAACATTTTTATTTACCAGGTAATATTTCACACTAAATTACTGTTCATTCTAGAAATAGAACCACTTAAATATTGCTCTATTGCCGGTTTCGTGTAAAGTTTGTCCAAGCCGCTGTTATCTCGGTTTAAGGCTTGTCCTCCGATTTTATTTATTTGTGTTTTTTTATTATGCAATTTATAAATACAGAACGATTTTTAAAACAGCTTCAATGGAATACTCTCAATAACGTCGGTCGAATTTGCTTGAGTTTTGAAATTCTTCAAGACAAATACACCTAATGCTTGCGGGAATTCCATCTGTCCATCCGAGGGCTTGAAAATGGAACACCCGGATTATTAACGATAAACGTACGCATCTAGAACGCTTTGATCATTACCAAGGCAGCAGAGTATAGCCGAGACGATAAATTTTCCCTGTATACAAAAGATACTCATCTGTTATTGGTTTAAAGGGACGCGAATCTCAAAAATTTCGTTGGTTCCATTTTGTCGTAATATAAATAGCGAAGCGCACAGCGAGACAGAGCGATGTGTAGCGTCTATGGAAGCAGAATAAATGTAAAATGATTAATTTAACAAGGAAATAATTTTGTTGAAGTGGATACCATAGCAACGTGCAACGTCGGCTACCTCGATTCACGATCTTTCTCTATCAGGTTAACGGGCAGCTCCTTTATGCAAACTGAAAATATATCACAAATGTCGAAACAACCAAAAACTATATGAACGGTTCTCACCTTCTTCTTTAATTATCTTATCTAAAATACAACATTTTCTACGAAAACGAACAGTTTTTTTCCGATTAAAAGGTAACCTTATCTCTAGATAATTACATTGATCTTTTATATAAAATTAGCGAAATGCCGAATAAATCAAATCTAAACTGTCACATAAATGAATGAACAAAACTAATTGATCAGGAAAAGAGAGATAAAATTTTTCTATCCTTAATAATTTTAGGAAATAATTTTTTTAGATAAAACAAACAAGTACCTAGGATACAGGGTAGTTATGCACAATGGTTTTGTGTTTTGGAATATCTCATCCCTCTGAGGATGTTCAAAGTCCTCGCCTTCTCCCCTGCACTGCAACTGCATGATCTTATGAAGCATCCAGTGCAATAGGGTTAAGGGTTTCAGAAAATGTCTATTAGCATTCATTGTGAAAAAATAGTTTCAGCTTGTATCGAAACGTTATGGGTGTTTCACATTTTTACTCGGGGGTATAGCACACAATGGCAAAACGTCACTATGAATGGGTTTATTTGAGCTTTTATATGACTTTTAGTCCGAAAACTTTATCAAGAACTTTGCTAATGTTTTATTTTTTTGTTGAAAAGTAATAGGATATATGAACAAGGAGAAATGCTGGTAGGCAACACCAAACTAAAAAGTTTTGGTTTTAAGTGAACGTTTAATGAATGTGCAGAAATTGAAGTTTATAGAACAATAAGCGTGGCGAGCTTTTATACAATAAATTGTCTCAGATCGACCCGGGAAAAAAATTTTCTTATAGAACGTGGCCTGCAGAATCCATCATTTCAAACAGTTCCAAGATTGGGCTACTAGTTCAAAAGTTACAGCCCTTTGAATTTTCTTTCGAAATTGGTTTCTAGTCTATAACTTTTTATTCCGAAGTCTGATCGAAAAAGTACGAATTGTTTTGGATTCTACACACCATAATTAATAAGAAAAAGTGTTTTCCCGAGAAATTTTGGTGCAGTCGATTTTTGGTAAAAAAGGAAGGTTATACACTGCCTTCTTTTAAATTGTCTCAGATCGACCCGGGAAAAAAATTTTCTTATAGAACGTGGCCTGCAGAATCCATCATTTCAAACAGTTCCAAGATTGGGCTACTAGTTCAAAAGTTACAGCCCTTTGAATTTTCTTTCGAAATTGGTTTCTAGTCTATAACTTTTTATTCCGAAGTCTGATCGAAAAAGTACGAATTGTTTTGGATTCTACACACCATAATTAATAAGAAAAAGTGTTTTCCCGAGAAATTTTGGTGCAGTCGATTTTTGGTAAAAAAGGAAGGTTATACACTGCCTTCTTTTGAGGCCCGAAGAAAAAATTTATTATATCTCATTACCACCATGTGAGGTATGCGGAACCGCAAATAGAAACCGTACCTAAGCAAATAAGCTCGTGGAATGCATAAAAAGAATCAGTCTAAAAATGGATATTTTTCCCATAACCGGTGGCATATTTCAGATATGCAATTGGATATAGTATTTCATACAGTCCAATGAAACTAAGGCAAGTTTAAAAGCAATTCTAAACGAGCGTGAAAATAACTACCATTAACTTGAATAAGTAAACACCTTTCAGCTTTGCTTCGCCCACAACATTCGTAGAGAACGTCATTAAATATTTTAACGAACGAATAGAAGTTCAAATATTACCAAAATCCCACGGCGAAATGCATTTTTGAATCGCAAATGACGTTCGGCAATTATCCGAATTTCCTCCAATTTATCCGCGTTGTAGTAGTTGTACACACGTCCGGTAGCTTAAAACCCCGTTTAATTAAATTTTACGCGTCACTTTTAATTGATTTAATTTAAATAACAAACGGCGTAAATAATAGGAATAAAAGGTAAAGAGGGTCGAGATCGACACAGCGAGCTCTATTTGCGCTTGACGAACATTTGAAATTGGAATTCATCTATTTCCATCTATTTCTCTCGTTTTGAGAAATGTTCAGTTATGAAATTTGTTCTCGAGTACAATAATTGTATAAAGCCGTGCGTTCTCAATCTGAAGCCAAGGAAATTGTGCCAGAGACGGTTTTCGTGATTCAAAGACACTTCAAGTAATGAAAATATCTAGGAAATGCCAGAGGGTATCATCAATTACCTCTGGTTTTAATGAGTGGCTGTTCTTTGCATTCTCGTGGTTTCAGTCTCCCCTTCAATATTTCATAGAGTCCCCCTTATCTCTTGAGGTTTCCTTTCCGTTGAAGCTAGCGTTTCTTTACTTCGAATTTTCTCGACTAACTCTCTAAAGACGATCCGTTTTAATAATTCATCAGTTTACTTTTGTAATTTTGCGTCCTGCGACTGATGACGTAAAACGTTGCCTATTAATAATTACCGCTAATTCCACCTTTTCCCCCTTTAAAAAATTATACGCTAATTACTTATTTATAGCATAATTGAATATGTAACTAATGAGATTCGAGATAATATCGGAATTGGAAACCCAGGACTGACCCAATTCGATACGCAGACGATAATAATCTGCTAACTTCGCAAAACCGTATTGATCCCAATACATTTTAAGGATCTGATATCAACTAATGCGGAAACCTTCCTATAGTACGCATGTTTCTTCAGTTGATTTCAGAAATACTTAATGTATTGAACTAAATTTAAACGGGAAAAATCCCATAACGTGCCATGACTCCTGCATACAGACATACTGTATATTACATTGAACGTGGACAAAAAAATTTGAAAGATTCTGAATTTTTGAGATGTTGTTAGGGTAGGTAGCAATAGTGTAAAACCAAGTTTGCAACCCTGAAAGATCTGTGCTAACTTTGTGGTGCTCGTCAAACCTTGAAATTTTCAAACTGTTTTCAGTTTTTTACTTATAACTTCAAAAAAATGCATTCTACTGCTTTTTCTTCATTTCTTAATTTCCTCCTCTCTCTCTCTCTTCATTTCCACATCTGAATCTCGCTTATTTTAATATTTTTATCCCTCCCACACACAGTTATTAAATCTGAAGATTTGTATCTAATACCTCCCCTCGTGCGCTCGCTATGTTTTTGTATTAATTTTGTGCATCCAAGTTCCTTCTTTCCAGCTCATTTTCCATCATTTCACCTATTCCTTGTCTCGTTTCCACCTAAGCCCATCCATTATGAAATAGTATTTTTTCGTTTGTTCTTCCCACATTTCTTTTGCGTTCATCCTCGTTTTTACCAATTCCCTTTCCTTTTCACTCCTCTCCTCCAACCTTACCGCCCTGCTTCCCGACACTGTCCATAACTTCTCAATTTTTTTCCTCCTCAAACATACATTTTTCATTTCATTTGGCAGATCTATGTCGATTATAATGTACCCCTTTCACCTCTCTGGTAGACTTCACTAAGTTTTGTCGGACTGGGATTTCTATATTGCTTTCTGGATATCTTCTTGGTCCAATTTCTCCAAGAAGACAAATTAAAGCCGCCCCGTAACAACAACGCAGGCTGGTTAATGTACATCGCAGGTGGATAAAAAGAAAGCGCTGGATTATTTAATTGTCCATTGAGCAATGGGAGGTTTTATGATGTCGATAATGTCTTCGTAGTAAATTTATTACAGCGTTGCTATTTTTTGGTGAAGACATTTTTCACTAAACTTCCTCTCTGTCACTCACTTTTATAATTTACATAGTCCTTAACTATAGAACCAACACGCTTTTTAAATAACAGGCAGCGGTTTTTTCTGCTGCACTGAACTTCGCCCTTGCTTGGAAGTCCTCTGGTTATTTTTTGTCTATTTCCTCAAATAAAGGCAATATTATTATTATAACAAATTCTAGCGCTAATTGTATCGTATAAATCGCAAAATTTGCACGATTCTAACTTTTCGTGATCGCTGGCAGAGAGGGATTGCTGAAGCCCCTCCTTTCGTTACATACATTGAATCATGATTGTCGCGCCATTATTCTTAATCCTTTGCTTACCATGATAAAATAATCTAGCGTACACTGTTAACTAAATTTAACCTTTAAGTTACACTGTAAAATACAAATTGTACCCTACTGTAGAAGGTTCACACCTGTCTCACCAACCCCTTTTTCCTCTTATTTCTTTGCACTATCTGCGAATCTACCTCTCTTCACCACAAGGGGATGCGTAAGGAAAACGTAAAAAGGGTACTATTGTGGCGGTTTTTTGGTCGCATAGTTTTTATTTTTTTGAACGAATTCATAAGAGAGGCCTAGTACATACACATTCCGATGATCTCCCACGACTGAAGAATGGTGTGGGATGACGCTTTTATTTTCGAAATGGAACACGATT